GAGCAGCCCTAGACAACATGGTCTGTGTGTTACTGGACAATCCTCGTGCTCTTCTTTGGACTGATCAGGTCAGTGCTGTGGTGCTCCTCACTGCCAAACACCCTGCGGCAACAAATCACGACCAGCTGCTGGAGCCGAGCCGCTGATTCTTCTCACTGATATTTTAGGAAGCATGGATGCACTTCCATGCGCCCACAGAAGTGTGCACAGGCTCTCCTCTCCCCCCTCTGCTTCACCACCGTCATACCTACAACACGACTGTGGGAGAAATTCTGGACGCCATCATGGCTGCTGTTTCCATCCCATCCAGCCGCCAACCTGGCCCCATGTGTTATCTTTATCCACGCTGTGCTGCATGCCAGTGCTTGATTCATTTCTGTATGTATATGTATGTATGTCGGAAGGACTGTGCAAACGCCTGAAGCCATCCCTCGTTTCTTTCTGTTTCTGGATTTCTTATTCGTTTTCACTGCCTTTGCTGTAGCATTTTCAACTTTTAACTCTGACCTGTGAAGTATTCAGGCACAGAGAGGCCTCGCTCAGGGGATTAACCAGCATTGCATCTACATACACCAGGCATGAAACATTACTTCCAAACTAACAGGGTGATTGCCAAGGAGCCATTAACCATAGCAATGGCATATATGCACATGGTGTGCAGTGTGTCCGTAAAAGCAGCCATATATACTTTATGTCCATGTAGACTGCACGTTGTAATAAATCGCCACATCTATATTCATTTTCTGTAGCAAAATACAAAGAGTAGTGTCTTAAAGCCTCAGCCCATCACTGCCATTTAACTGCTTTCATATACACGAGGTTCAAACCTTTTCCTGTCTGAATGTTTACACGTCTGCTCATTCAGGCTGACCAGCCTGCAGTGTGACAGTACATACCTGGGTTCTGTCTGGCCATGAGCGGCTTCTGTTGCTGAACATATCTCATGTATCCGTTCAGAGGTCTCTTTGGAGGGGAGCGGGCCTCGGAGGTCAGAAACTTCACTGGGCTGAAGAATGCAGAGGGCAGCACGCTGGTACACCTGCAGGGAGGCAACATACATGAGAACAGCCATCTCTCTCCTCTCCATCACGCTTTATTCCACATGGACTATTTCAGGGTTCAGAGCTGGACTCTAACTCATGCCTGAGATCTGTCAGTGCATGTCTGACCGCACAGTGTGCTCGTTCACACAGCACACTGCTAACTGGGTGACACTTTACTGTCCGCGTTGAAAGAAGACAGTCAGCATTAGCCTGCAAACACTGCAGCGCTGCTATGTGTGAGCTGCAGCTACACTGCGTTTCCTGTCGGATATGAAGAGCACAGAGCAGCTAACGAAGCTTCAAAGCACGGACAGCAAACGGGAACTCTTACAAGATGTCTGCTTTTCTGTTTACCAACAGTACCAAGAACCGAAGGCCATGTTTATATTTACGGCTGCTTCATGCTACGCTTACGTATGCTACCATCACCAACACTCACTGTTCTAAAACACGATGTTCAGGGAGTTTCACACAGCAGACTGCAGTGTCTCTGCAGCTAGCTAATGCAACACATACGCCTGGGTTAGCTACCTTGCCAGAGAGCCAGTGCAGGAGAGCACACTGAAGGACTTAGCCAGCAGGCTAACACCTGCTGTCAGCAAGTACGGAGCCATGTCGGCGGGAATCAGCGCGAAAGTCCGCAAACAGGGGAGCGAAGAGCAGACGCGTTGTCTCTGTGCTCAGGCGACGCTGTGACAGCGCTGGAACCCAGGGAGCCCACGGACACGCACCACCAACTGTCTACCAACAAAACGCGCCTTCACTCTCTCCCGGTGGATTGTGGGAAAAGGTCAACTGTTTTTTTTACTTCCTGTGTTGAAGCTTTACTTCCAACAAAGCAGCAAATCAGCTTTAAAGCACAAACAGACTCAAAGACAACGTGGTCAAAACAACTTTAAGACATCTGAAGTCATCTGATGTTCATTTTGAATTTAGACGAAACGGCGGTGTGCTTGTACGTCACTTCCGTTTCCGCCTAGTGTTCAGAGGGCTCGATGGTTGTTTATGACGAGTGGAGATTTGGTTTAAGCTGCTGTTGATTTAACCCTGTTAAAATATAAGAGCGATATAGAAACATTTGCTGAGGTTTTACATGTCGGTTGATCTCTAACAGCATCTGATCTGAATGAGTCCCGGGACGTGTTTGGTGACTCTGACTTTAGTGAGACTGTCGTGCTTTTCACCTCATTAATCAAACACCACATAAATGTAACGTCTCCACTTTCAGGAGAGAAACACAACTCTGTCTTCCTCTCACAATAAGAAAGCTTTAAAAACCATTAATATTTGTAACATTTTAATTTATTGAATTATTCAGTCCCGTTTTTCCTCTTTGCATCTGTATTTCTATCCTTTTTGTTTAATTAGACATACTCTTCCTCTGTGTTATAATTTTGCAGTACAATTGTAAAACCCATTGTGTTGTGTTATGCTCGTTAAAAGTTTCTGTTGAAATAAAGTTGGAGGGAAAAAAGTGCAGTTTCTCCCAACGTTTCCCAGCAACATATAAAGAGACGGATGTTGGCTTAAGACTTTTGCACAGTATGTTTGACTGTGCTTCTATATTCTCTAGTTTCATGTAACACTGCCAGCACACAGCGCAAAGTGCAATAAGAGCACCACATACAAAGTGTGTTGCTCGTGTCAACATAAAGCAGAGTTACACAATCATGTCATGATAGTAACGGTACTATTCTTTAATCCAGTACAAAATGTGCCACATGGGCCTCAGAGACACAGGTAGAAAACTTTACACAGGAACAAAAAGCAGGGTGTTTAGCCTTTGTTACGATGGAGTGCAGCTTAATGAGGACAGTGTAAAAAAGCTTCTCACTGGGCTGAAGGCCTGATTGTTGTACCTGTGGAAATCCAACGTCACAGCTACGATCAGGGGACAAGAGCACATCATTTTAATGAGAGCTTTACACTGTGATGACTCCAATCTGAGTTCAAATAGAAAAAATCATTCCAAACAGACTGAATACAATATAGGTGTTGTCAATAATAATAACAATAATAATAACAACAACAATAGAAGAAAACAGCAACACATAAGAAGTCGCTCCCATTTTCAGGACCACTGCCACAGTACATTGTTTCAATCAACTTGGTCTGCTACACCGACATCAAGACTCCTCCGTAAGCCAGCACATCGATGAAGTGACGACGAACAGAGAACATTAGTATCAGTCAGTACTGTTGTCTGTTGGAGGGCCATACATATTTCACATTCAGCCTTCAGTGTTTCTTCCTGGCTGCTGATGCGCGAAGCAGAAAGGTGGATGACGGAGCCGCCTGAAGCTCGTGCTCCAAAGTTTTCCAGGACTTTTTCCTGTATTACAGAAAAGGGATTTGCATTTCTTTGCAATACTTCTGCATTGTCTCACACCGTGCATTACATTCTGTGTGATCTGTACCAGGGGTTCGTCTACAGAGGCTGTAAGGGACAATTAGACAGGAAGGAGACATGACGCGACTGTCCTGCTATCGGTGCTCACATGCTAATAGGTCGGTGTCCAACAGCATGCTGCTGCTTACTGTCAGAACAGCTAACTGAATGATTTCAGTAGTAACCTGGAAAGATCCACAGCACCATCAGCTCAGACAAAGAAGCAGCCAACAACAACCACACATCAGGCACAGCCTCAGCAGCTACATCCAGCTGTGCTCACAGCCAGCAGCTCCACGCTGTCCCTCATCATCTCTCCTCTCTGCAGCCAATGAAGTATTAGCCTTAATTGGCTGTGTCCAACTGGACTGGATCAACACAGCAACAGTTACAGTAATAATGTAAGGAACACAAAAGTATTGTTAGGTAAAGTAACACAGGAGTCGAGCTAAGACGTCCTGCTGCGGCCCTTCTGATCTCCGTTCACAGCACAGCTGACGTGGGCTTGTTCCCGTTTGGCATCTGGTGGCATTTCTGTCCTCTCATTTTATACTTGTACTTAAAAAGGAAAGAAAACAATCTGTAATAATCATGAATGTCACAAATGAACCGTCCGTGGTGCAATAATAACATGCCAAACGTTAAAAATGCCCAAGTATCCACTGAGTGCGCACAGGCAGGCTGTGGCCTGCTCCGAGTCCGGCTTCTTTTCAGGAAAAACAAAAACAACCCCCCAAAGTAATGTAGATGTTATCGGCCTCGGATTAATAACGATGACAACAGTTCAGTTTGGTGGAAGTTAAGTAGGATTATTTGATGAGTTCGTACTATAATTTCAGTGCGTGTTGACTTTAAAAAACAGATGGGAAAAGAAAGAAACTAAATGTCAGCCTGTCGTTTTTGCGCTGTGCTCATCTTCTTCACATGGCGTACTTCTGGGTCCATTCTTTTGCTAGTTTGTTGTATCTGAGAAGAGAAAAAGACACAAATCGATGACACCATCAGACACACTCGCTTTACTAAAGACGTTAGCATGCGCGCGTGTGTGTATTCACTTGTCTTTGTCGTTCTTGTAGATGTGAGCTATGTCAGGCACCAAGGGGTCATCTGGGTTTGGATCACACAGCAATGAACATATGGACAATAAAACTGCAAAAAACAGGTGAAAGGATCCCGTCAGTGAACTGAGGACAGTTTCATTGTCGAGTGTGTAGAAACGACACACTTCAGTTAACATGGGGCAGACGTGACGCTGTGTGGGAGCAAAGGGAGGTTCCTCGGCCCTAATCATACGATCCATAATGTCACTTTTTAAAATACAGACGACACACACACACATCTGATTACCTTTAGACACCGTCAGTGCTGGAGACCACTGTGACCGCAGGATGTCCAAGCAGATGCTGCCGTTGCTGTTTATATTTGGGTGATAAATCTTTGTTGTAAATGCTACCTGGATTAAAAAAATGAATGACGTTAGTAACATTCAGCGAGTGGAATAACTGAGGTGAGCAGGTCCTGAGTGACACCTTCCTCATCGTCAAGACGACTGAAGCAACTACCAATGAAAGAGCAGGATACCGTTTCCAAAGTAACCCAAGCCTGTAACGTCCACCATGACATCGTGACAGCGACACACAACACGTCTTGCTGTGTGGAGTCTGGGCACCGTCGTGGATTTAAATCAAATTTGCAGTGCAGACTTTCAGCTTTGATTCAGTGGGCTGAACAACAATGTTACATTATCTGTTTGAAAATCACAGGCTCGACTTTCAGAGGCTCAACAGTAAGTGGACCATGAAGTGACAAACTCAAGCACAGCAGCTGTTCATTTCCTGACGGCAAACGTACATGCACACAGACACACAAACAAGCAGAGCAGTTAAAGACCAGGAGACATCCTGGGATCCTGTTAATGTCAAACTTTTGTTAAACCTTTTGAATTAAAGCTTAAAGCCTGCACTTCAGTCACTTCCTGTTTGATTTAAAAGTCACACTTGCTATCCCAGGTTAAGTTTAGTCTTTTTGTTTGTCAGACTTTTCTTTTGGCATCAGGATTAGTTCATGTGTGGAAAACCTGCTTAAAGAGCTTTATTCAGGTGTGCAGCCACCGTGGGCCACCGATCCTCCCAGTCCCAACTCTGCTGGAGCAGTGAGCAACATTTTTCCAAAACACACGCCCTTATTTACTTATCAAATCAGCCAGTGAGCCTGGTACACGTGTCCAGGAGAGACCACTCCTAGGACAGAAATGTCTCAGGACAAAAGTGAACAGTTTGTCTTCCAAGCAGGCCGCCACCGCCTGAATAACACATGTGTACAATATGTAAGGTAGGTTATACAATCTTCCCACCAAACACACTGTGTTTGTGCTTCTTCCTGTGTGTGTTTGCAGTCACCCTGAACTGGTGACCCTAGACTAGCTGTGTGACAGACTAGTGACCCGTCCAGGGTGTACTCTGCCCCTCACACCATCTCACTTCCTTTCCTGCCTCGTATGACCTTAAAATGGATAAGTGGATGTGCTGCTGTGTATGTATGAAATGTGGCACAGTGATGCAAGTTGTCAGCTCTGTGAGACAGGAGATCTAGCAGCATGGCAGGAGAAAAGCTTGGGGCTCTTACCTTTGGTGGCTTGAACGGGTAGTCAGTAGGAAAGTGAATTGTGAGAAAGAAAACTCCTCCTTGGTACGGACTGTCACCCTGACAAAAAGACACTTCTGTCAACACAACAGTGAAACGATTCAGGTGGAATCAGTCGGCTCGCTCCCGTCACCTTCAGCCCAGATGAACAAACCGGTTGGTACCACTTCTCATTTGTCTATATTTATTTATTTTTCTATATGAGAATAATTTCAACACTGTAACAAAGAAATGTCCCAAATATGGGATCAATAAAGCAGTGCTCATTATTTCTGATGCATTTAGTGCAGAAAACATTATGAGAGGAGAAGAAGAAGCAAGCTTAGCGTGACACTCACCGGGCCCATTATTGTTGCCTGCCAGTGAAACACTAGGAGCAAGAAACAAAACAGAGGCACATATAAGAACGCAAGCTGTACATTCAACCAACACAATGTTCAGAGGCCATCATCCACCACGTTACACATGCTGTGTGTACAGAGCACAGTGCACACTGTGTACTGTGTCCACAAAAGACAGACAGCTGTGCTTTGTCATCAGCCTTACTCTAACTGGCTGATTACAGGGTGACTAACAGCCGTCGCTCCCATTTCCCAGTTAAAAGATAACCTATGGAGCTCATAGTTAACCCTTTGGAGAACCCATTCAATTTTAAATTGGTCCTAGACACAGCAACACAGTCCAGTCCTGGGGTGTCTCACTGTGAAACAGCATAGGGCATACAGTCACTTTCAGGCGATCAGGATGGAGTTCCAGCCTTCGGCAGAGGTCCGGCTTTCTAGAAGCTAGTCTGACGTCTCTGCAGAACTTCCTAGTAAATCTTTTAGGACCCTTCTTTAGCCAAATGAAACATTTTCTTCTGATATCTACTTGACTCGTTCTTCCACCGCTCTTTTTTTAAAACTGACCCTACCAAAAAATAAATAAATAAATCCTCTTGAAAACTATTTATGTTTTGCTTTAGATTGTTAAGATAAAACGTAGAATGACATTTAGGAACTATGAAGAGTCTCAAGGCCGACATGCAGGATGTGAACTCACTGTCATCCCCCACTGGTCCAGCCGAGCACTGTGCGGGAGGGTCTCTCTGCAGGTCCTGCAGCTCCTGGTCAACATAACACAAACCAGTCTGTGAGGTTTGACTGAACATCACGTGACACGGCAGTTTTAATGTGAATCAGCTGCAAATGCAGAAATCTTTTCCGTCATTAATGGCAAATACCATCCAGGTATCGCTACAGTCCCCACTAGGCCGTTAATGCAAGCGTGCTTGTGTGTGACTTTGTTTCGACAGTGCGGACCACCGAAAGAAACCATCAGTTACATATATGTAGTTATTATAAGTCCTGTCAAGCCTTCGAGAAGCTCGTCTAACGTGTTATTTCACTTTTCCATTATGACTGGTAGTCCTCTCCGTGCGCCCTCAACAGTCCACAAAGGAAGTGAACTAGTCCACACTACAGAGAACCGAAATGAACTCTGTGCAAACTTCCCTGGTCACCGCAGTCCCAGCCCTCACTACAAGCTGGACAACACAGCTTCTGACACAGAGACAGGCTAACATGGAGGGCACAAAGAGGGTAGTTAATGAGCTAACTACGCTCTTTGGTCATTTGTTAGCGAGCTAGCATGAAACTTTGGATTTGTCAGCCTGCTTCGTCCGTTAGAAGAGATGTCAGCGGCCCCATTATTATCAAAAATATGACGAAGTTTGAGCGGAGTTGTTTCAAAGCGGGGGGAGTGTAAGTTCTGTATGAATACACCTTTAGCGAAAAATAAATCCTATCGTTAGCCTCTGCTGTGCTATCTTTAGCTGGCAACCAATGCTAGCTTGTTAAACTTACCTTCTGTATTCTTTTCAGTGCCATGCTAACTGACGCAGTCCGCTCCCGTGCTCACTCCTCGCTCGTGTTGGTAGGATTATTGCTGCCCAAGTCAATGGTTGTAGTTTGTTCCCTGAGTACTTCGACAGCCGGGACGTGTTTGTGTTTTTATAAAAACCTCTTTTGTTTCCGCTTTCTTCTGTTTACGGTCGTCCCCTCGAAGTGGATCACGGGAAATGTAGTTCTGAATGTGCGCTATGCTTGTATCTCAGAAATAACCCTAACTGCTATACTTAAGGAAGTATCTGAGGTACCTTTAGTTCTTGCCTTTCAATGCTTCATCTTTTTAATCCACTACAAGCTGAACAAGTCGCTGCTGGTAGAAGAACACTCGTTTTTCTTGTTGTTCAGAAATCAGAAACATCCCACAGTTCCAACCATATACGGCTTTCACCTTCATCATGTGATGAAATGTAATGTGTATTTAAAACAAAGTTTATTTGGTGGAGGACTGTCATTTGGTGACGTTTCTTTACATACACTCACTGGACATTTCATTAGGTACACCTCTCCATAACACAAACATCTAATCAGCTAATCATAGAATCATAGAATAACAATCCAATGTATTTAGGCACGTGTACATGATGGAGACAACCTGGTGAAATTCAAAGCGAGCATCAGAATGAGAAAGAAAAGCACGGTGATGGTGTTAGATGGGCTGGTCTTAGTATTTCAAAAACTGCTGATCTATTGGAACTTTCCCCACACAACCATTTACAAACCAGGTCATCAGAAGACCTGATCAAACCTTAAAGTGGCCTACAGCAGCAGAAAACCACACCAAGCACAGCGTCTGTAAGAGCAGGAAACTGAGGCTACAGGCTCACTGAACTTGAACAATAGAAAACATTGTCTGTGCCTCCTTTTATGACTGCAATTTACCAGTCTTGGCTCTTGGCTCGTCAAGCAGGATAACAAACCGTGAGCTCAAATCCTCTGAAACATGAATATAGTTTCTTGAACATAACAATGTGTTCACTCAAAATCACCAACAGTCCCCAGATCAAACAGAACACCTCTGACATGTGGAGGAATATTCACATCATGGATGTGCACCCATCTCCAGCCGCGCCATAGCTGCAGCACCCTGATGAGTCTATGCTGCAAAGATTTAAGGCAGCTCTGAAGGCAAAAGGAGGTCTGACCCATTATAAGAAAGGTGTATCTAATAAAGTGTCCAGTGATGTCTTGATGCAATGATTTCACTTTGAATTTCTTTGTATAGTTAAATCACAACAGTCCCAGGGTTTTATATTGGAGTCTTGTTTATTACCAGGTGTTCTCCGTTGGGTTGCTTTGTTCTTCCTTTTATTCTCCCCCTGAAGGGAGGGAGTGTGTAATCATCTCCATTTGTGTGTTTGTTAGCAGTCTAGCATCCACAGTTTTCAAGATATCATTTTCCAATGTAGTGTGCTGGTAGAACCCTCAAACAGCACAAACGCTGTATTACCCATGATTTCTTTATGGAACTTCACACTAAAGTTCTAGACATCGTGGGATATGAGTACGTAGGTTTTATGTTAATTTTTTTCATTAAAAAAAACTTATCAGTGATACATTGTATGAAAGGTTTGGAAAGAGCAGTACAACACATAACATGTTTCCATAGCAGGCTGACATCAGCACGTTGTAATAAAAACATAAAGCATCAACGTTTTAGTTTCGCTCTTGCCTTTTGGGGCAGATTTTCCTTACACCTTAGCGTCCTGTGTCCTTAGGCCTTGTTGTATTTTGGTTGTGGTTACTGTTTGTATTTATGACATGTGTCCCCGGACTCTTGTTCAGTCTGTGACTGTGTTTCCTGCACTTCTCTCACCATTTCCTGATTTACTTTGATTTATTTTCCTCGTGTTTTGCTGTCGTCAGAATCAGAATACTTTATTAACCCTGAGGAAATTATGTGGTCACAGTCACTCCAAGACATTAAGAACTGACTGAACTCAATTAAATAATACAATATATTACAAAATTACAAATATATATATCCAGATATTACAGATATTAAATATATATGAATGACATTTTACTCTAAACTGTAAAACTGTTATTTGTTAAAGGATGTGCCAAAGGGTGTAAATTCTGCAGCCTGGAGGAGCTGGAGTGTGGTTCGGTGGTACATTTAGGTAATCTCACTGAACATGCTCCTGTGACTGGCCAGCAGCCAGTAGAAAGACATTAACGGCTGCCCTTGAGCCTGGTTCTGCCAAAGGTCGCCCTGTTCAAAGGGGGTTCTTCCTCCGCAGGCCACCATAGTGTGTAATGCTCAAATATCTTCTTTCTGCCTGGCTTCACCAAGTATTTAGCACTGACTCACTGCTTCAGTCTTTCTCTTCAGTCTATATTTGTTAAAACATCTTTAACCTCGACGCTGTGTAACAGTTAATATGCGAACACAAGGGTCATCTTTTATATTGAAGTTACAGGAACCCGATGAATAAATCCCACTTGGGCCTCTGTGTTGATAGACACGAAATGATGCTAAATTAGAGACGTTATGCAAGCCTACAGCATAAACACTCTCAGGGTGCCATTACCAAGAGCCTGGCCTGTACAGCATTTCTTAAACTGTTTAGGAAATGTTTAGGATGTTCATGTTTAGGAAATTTGGGGCCAATTACAGTGATAACATGAACTTTCCAACTGATACGGGTAATTGTCAGCGTGATTGGGACCCTCTGAAATTATACAGGAAGATGCACAAAATCTCTTTTTCCATCTCTTTCTCAAGAAAGACAGCGACGATGTTAAACCCTCAGATATTTCATGACTTACTGGCTTTTTACAGGTTGTGTGCCAAGGAAAGAAAAAGCCTCATACTTTCTCACACTCTGAGCACAAAAAGACGATGTTGTTTCGATTCTCCAAAGCCACAAATGTACTTAAGTTGTATAAAACCATCGCAAACTACAGACACAAACTAGAAGACGTGTGAATACTCTAGCCTATACTGACAGCGCTGAAACAATCATCTAATACAAGTCCTGCATTCAAAGTGTTACTTTAAATACAAGTATTAAACATAATAATAGTATTGTAAATGTATTACAGTTTTACTCATTGCAGAAAAAATACCCGCTGTGACTGAGTCTCTATTATATCCTTATTGTATCATTACTCATTCAAAACTGTAAAGTAGGTTTTTATATTTGATGCAGATTAACCAAAAATATACACATTTATAATGGATTCATCTGCTGATTATTTAACTTTAAAACAAAACGCAGCAAGCGGCGGCAGGCTGCGTCCTGGCTGGCCGCACCCAGGGGGTCCGCATGGGCACTGGAAAAGTCTGAACCTCCTCCACTCCCACGCCACCGGGGAACGCCAGTGGGGGTATCGGCAGCGTCGGCCAGGACCGGATCAGAATCACCAGATTCAATCCTTTGCATCCGGCGCTCGATCCGGTCCTGGAGTTCATCCCGCTGGCTGCGAGACACTGCGGCCTGCTCCCGCTGCACCCACCAGCTCCATCCCTGGTCTGCTGTGCCCTCCTGCTGGGTTTCGGCACCACTGTAATCATCAGACGACAGACCTGTCCACATTTTTATGCTTTTCAGCATCATCTTTTATTCTCTCACGGTTGCTGTACACAATACCCAGCTGCAGCTTGCAGCCACACACATCAACAACAAACATGACATCGGTCCGAGCACAGACTTTAAGCCGGCAAGGCGTGATTGTGGATCCCACTCAGGTGCATCCACCTCCCCTGCAGCGGCTCCACAGACCACGCCCCGCCACAATGGGAATCACACTCTTTAGCCTCCCCGGAAAAGTCTATGTCTGGGTGCTGGAAATGAGAGTCCGTCTGTTAGTCAAACCTCAGATACAGGAGAAGCAGTCCAGGTTTTCATCCAGGTCACGGAACACTGGAGCAGCTCTTTATCCTTTTGACGATACTTCAGGGTG